TTCCCAAATCGCTGCGCGATGTGGGAGCTAAGAAAATATTCCTTCATCCCGGTTGTGCGTCTGCGTCCCAGCGCATACTCCGGGAATTTTCAAATCGCGCGTCTGGCCGGCGACGTCTTGGGGCGATGCACCACCAACTTCCCTCTGTACCCCAGGGCATCCCGGGCAGACACACCCCTGTGAAACTCCACTGGCCCACTACGTGCAGGTTCGCGCGCGCGCGCGTGCGCGTGCGCGCGTGGAATGCAAACACCAAATCACAATACGTTTTCCTCTGGGCCTCTACTCCTCGTCTGGTGAACTCGCGAACTCCATTAGGAATTCGCATTCTGCAAGGGTGCCCCAGGCTTTGGCCGACGCGCGCGCGCAAGCAGTCATGCCCCGCCAGCCGCCCGAATAGAAAAGCGCCGTTGGGCCTGTGGCCTCAACGACCTGTCGTCAAGCCACGGCGACAATCATGCGCGCCCCAGGATCGCCCGCCAGCGAGCCCCAAGGCGCGCCCGGCGAGCTGCAGGCACGTCGGGGAACTACGGCAGGATATGCCCGAGAAAGGTGCGCTGTTGCTGGCCAGTCTCCGTCGTGAAACACACGTGCCACAAAGCGTCTTCCCTTGCGAGCCGCATATGCGGCGACGTGGGGCTGCGACAGGTCCCGAGCAGCACTTTCGATTGAGAGACGTCATCCTGGCCACGTCTGCTCCGGAGCCCGGGAGCCCGCCCCGACTGCAAGCTGCGCCTGGAGCTGCCTCAGCTGTGGAACTCCCCCATGTCGGAGGCAGAAATGTCGCGCGACCACCCGCGAGTCCCAAATGACACGCTGCTGTGTCCAGCTGCGCCATCGCGCCAATTTGCGGGCTTGATCCGCCGACGCTCGGATCTTTCACTCGCGGATTGCCCCCCCTGGATTTACCGCGCCACGCGCGGCGCGACCTTCGTCGACTAAAGCTCCAAGAGGCGCGCGAACCCATCGCAATATTGCGCGCAGGTGCAACAAATATCCCCCCAGGGAGGCGGCGATGCGAAAGAGGGCAACCGATTCATCCGCATTCGCAGTTGTCGGCGGCCAGGGCCCCAGCCCACGCATAGCGCAGCAAGCTTCGTTCGTGCAACCGCAGCGCAGAGGCGCATTGAGCCGCGCTGGACCTCCGCTCAAAAAAACTCAATCCACATGGCCTCCTCTTCGAACGACTCCCCAGATGCGCGCTGCAGTCGCCGCGTCGCCTCAGCTCGGGGCGGCTGCGCCGGCGTTGCCAGAATTGAACTATGCACGGCGGCCAGTGCCCCAATCGCGGCGCGCCGGGGCGCAAACGCGCAGTGCCGCCGCCGCCCCCCGCTGCTTTTCATCGCGGACGGGCGCGGCAACTCTTTCCGCTGGCCTGCCGAGACGTCAGTGGCATCGCCTTTGGCCAACGCCCTTTTTGCCTGCGCGGCGGACGACCTCCTGGGCCTTGCCCTTGGTCTCTCGGACCATATCCTGGTCCAAAGAGGTAAAATACAATTTGGCTGCGAGCCTGGCCTCGCGGACCTCGAAGCTCGCCTTCAAACGCCCCGCCCAGGGGCACTCGCTGGGCACGGCCTCGATGACGGGAGCGCGGGGCCGGGCGGTCCGGCGGAGAATCTGCGGATCATCTCAATCCGTGCCCCTCCACGAAGGGGCGCCCGCTTTCTGCGGCCGCCCCCCCTGCAGCTTCCCATGTGATTAGCGTGTCCTCGTTGGGGAGGGAACCTGTGGGAATGGGGGCGAGACCGATCTCCCGCGCGCTCGGCGCGGTCGTGCGAAAGGCTCATTCTTGCCAAGCGTCTCCGTCTCGCCCCGGCACATTGCGAACTCGCTCGCGGCCTTGGCGAGGCCCTCCGCCGCGCTCGAAGAAGCGCCGACATCGGCCTCTGTGGAAGGCTCGGCCCCAGTGCACTCTCGCCGCGGGCGCGGAGCCCGCGCGCGAGAAGGGCCGGCGTCGCCGCCGCCGCCGCCTTCCAGCTTGAACCACTGCCCTCCGCGGCGAAGGGCGCGTCGCCAATCTTGACGCTGGACTCGAGCAGGTCGCGGATGATCTCGCGCGCGAGATCAGCTGGGTGGGCGCTGCCCACAGCCTCGCTCAACATTCGGGCGACTGCCGCGTGCCCGCGCAGATCGCGCTGAATCTTGGGCTTAGACTACTCCGGGCCGAGCGCGACGTAGATCCATGTCTCGCGCTGCTCGGCAGAAGCACCGTTGAAAGCGCTCCCCGGCGCTTCCCCGATCTCAGCCTCAATCTCCGCGACAGATTAGGCCATGCTGCCGCGCTTGCTCCACGTGCAGAAGCCCTGTCGGACAGACTGCAGACAGTAGACAGAAGCGCGCGAATTCGCACTCCAGTCGGCGGCCACGGACACGGGTTCGCCAAAGGAAGCAAATCGCAACTAATGGCGGAGAATGATGGGGCGCCGAATTTTCTCGGCGACGGCGCCCAAGCGCGCCAGCTTGCGCGCGCCCCGCACTGCGCCAGAAAAAAAAACATTCCGCGAATGGCGCGCAGCAGAACTACATGGCACTCAGCGGTGCGATTGGCGCCACGGGCCGCAGCATGGGACGCCCCATGGCGACGAGCTTTCAGCGCAGCCGGTTTGGTACTCAACGGTGCGAAAAAGCACTCGACGGTGCCTGCGAAGCTCCCGGCGGCGCGCGCGGCAGCTTGGCGCGAAACGCGCCAGGCGGCACGAATAAACGCTGCTGCGGCGCCGATGGCGCTCCGCAGCACCAGAAAGTCACCAAGCGACGCGGGTGGGCATCGCAGCGCCAGCGCGGCACAAGGCAGCGCGAGTGGCCTGGTCTGCGCAGAGCGGTGCAGGCCGCACCGAGTGGCACCATAAAGGCAACCACCGGCGCGTAAAGCGCCCAACGGCCCGGGGTGGCGCGAATGGAGCTCAGCGGAGCCTGAACGGCACGCAGAAGCGCAACGGGCATACCGCGGCATCAGAACTGGGCGCCAAAATGGCACCCATGGGTGCGAATGCCGCATGGCGGCGCTACATCAAAATGGCATCAGCAGCGCAAGTGTCGCTCAGCGGCACCAGGCTGGCACTCAGCGGTGCTACTGGTGCTCCGCGGCGCCAAAGTGGCACTCAGCGGAGCGAGTGGCGCGCAGCGGCACCAGAACTCCACATTGCCGCGCAAATGGCGCTCAGCGGCGCCAGAATTGCACTCAGCGCTGCGAGTAGCGCTCAGCGGCGTCATATAGATCGGTAGTCACTGGCGCAAATGTTGCTCACCGGCACCAAAATGGCACTCAGCGGTGCGTGTGGCGCTCAGCGGCACCAGAATGGCACTGAACGGTGCGAGTGGCGCTCAGCGGCGCCAGAACTGCACTCAGTGGCGCAAGTGGCGCTCAGCGGCACCAGAATGGTACACAACGGTGCGGATAGCGGCGCCAAGATTGAATTGCGCCTCCCACGGGCTCAGCGGCACCGTGGGTCGGCCGTCTCCTGACTTCACGCGCCTGGGATTGGCAAGCCGTGCCCTTGCCCAGGTGCGCGAGAAAAGGCCCTTTGCAGGCTTGGGCCCACGGCCCGACGACTGACCGCAACAGACACCCACCGCAATCCCGGAGGGGCACCGGCGTGTAAGAACAACTGGGAGCCCCGTGCCGCGAAGCGCGAACCTCCTGCTCCATTGGAACACCAGCGAATGAGACAAGCGATCGCTTGCCGTTTGCCGACCATAATTAGGTGCAGTACGCAAACCACCGCAACCCCCAGAGGCCAAGAAGAGAATAATGGAATCCATTACGCACTTCCGTCATATTTTCCTGCTCCCTATATCGCTGCGCGATTTGGGAGGTAAGAAACAAATCGCGGGTATGGCGAAGACACGCTCACAGCCACGAGGCTCCACGAGTCAGAATGCCAAACGCGCGGTGCACTACGAAGCGGAACCGCAACGCCACAACGCGCTGGAAGGCTGCCAAGCGCAACCTGCTGAGTACGGAATGCAACGGCATGCAAGGGAAAAGGAAAAAGGACGGGAGGAAACAGTGTTTGATCCGCGGGTCGAGAGCGCACCTCTTCCGGTCGAAGCTAAGCGGGCCGCGCGAAGCTTGAATTTGGCAGAGAGGGGGGGGAGAGACGGGAGGAAACAGGGGAGGAGGACAGCTCCCGCCGAGCGTCGCTATCGACCGCGCGCTCTCCGAACCGCTGCTGCAGACGACACCCCCAGATCGAGAGGCGGGAGGGGCGGGTGGGGAGCAGAGGTGGACCGAGCCGCAGAGAAGGGAGCCAGCGAGGACAGAGCAGGCGAGAGGGAGGCGGGACAGGGACGGCGCGAGGAGAGGTTCTCCGAGGAGGAGCCTGCTGCTCTGAGATGGTTTCGCCCGAGGCGTGCTTTCCGCCGCGCTGCCTGGCAAACCTGGGCTGCATCGAACCGAGAAGGCAGATCGGATGGGCAGCTGATCGGATCGAACCGGAATTGAATCGGAATCGGATCGTACCTGACGTACAGGCGCGCGGGCTGAATACCTGCCCCAGGACGACGAGGGGAGGGAGGGATAGAGAAGAAAGAGGAGGACGAGGGAGGAGGGGGGGCGGAAAGAGGGAGGAAGGGGGGGTCCTTCATCCGACCCGATCCCTGCTCCCTGTTCTCCTTCATCCTCTCGCATCCCTGCTCTCCTCCACGCGCGCGCCTACCGAGGAACGCTCCTGCATGGCCGTACGGCCGTTCAGCCAAGAGCCCAAATGCCAGCCACCGCTCCCAGAAAGGACCACGCCGTGGCCACACCATCAAGCGCTCAAACTCAACGGGTGCGGACTTGGCGGTTGCACTGGTATCTGAGATATGTTCACTTTGATTGTGAGTCGTCTGCGAAAGTGGCATCGTCTATCCAAGCTCTGTTACAAGCAGTACTCGTCCACAGGGGAAGGAGGAGGGCAGGACGCGGCAGGGGCAGAACGCGCAGGGAAAGAGGAGGGCGACGACCGTGCGGGCACGAAGCTGCCGGCCGCGGGCCGGGCAGGAAGGCGAGGGGGCTCCTCTTCCAGCTGGCGGTTCTTAATGTGCAGAGCCTCCAGCCTCGGTGTCCAACCCTCCCGTCTTACATCGTCTGCCGCATTCCTCCATCATCCACCACGACCTCCTCCACCCTCCATCATCCTCACCCCTCCTCACCCTCTTTTTCCTCCTTACTGCAGGTTCGTGTCGTGCCAACTTGAGCGTTGGTTACTGACACCGCGGGGATCGTTCAACCTTGAACGATCGGCCGTTTCCGAAACGTCAGATCGCTCAACACCGACCGATTCTGGGTCGCCAGCGGCGTTCAATGTAGAACGCCGGCTCGTCGTCCTCCTCCTCTTCCTCACCCTCCTTCTCCTCCTCCTCCTCCTCCTTCTCATCCTTCTCCTCCAACTCCGCCTCCGCTTCCTCCAACTCATCCTCCTACTCATCCTCAACACCACCACGACAACCACAAGCATCATCATCAGCAGCAGCATCATATCTAGCATAAGCGTTATCAACATCATCACCACAACCATCATCAGCAGCAACATCATCATCATCATCATCATCATCATCATCATCATCATCATCATCATCATCATCATCATCATCATCATCATCATCATCATCATCATCATCATAATCGTAAGCATCATCATCATCATCATCATCAGCCTTACCATCATCCCCGTCCTCATCATCATCATCCTCATCTTCCGCATCATCATCGTCATCATCATCTTCATCACCATCAACATCATCGTCATCTGCACTATCCGCATCGACATCAGCCTCATCATCCTCATCCTCATCCTCATGATCCTCAACAGCATCCTCATCCTCATCATCATCCTCTTCACCATCCTCGTCGCCGTCGTCATCATCATCATCATATTCTCATCCTCCTCATCAACAGCATCAATATCATCATCCGCAATAGCAACAACATCCTCCGAAATGCCCGCCCTCATCCTCATAACCCTCTCCCATATCAACATCTACTCCCACTCTGCCACCTACCAAGCCGATGTCCGACCAATATGGGTGGTCCCATCCTCCCCTTCAAACAAACAAAAACACTTGCAGTGTTTGTCGTGTCTGTTGCAGAATGCGCGGCAGGAGCGGGACGGGGCGCACGCCCCGCGCGAAAGCCCGAAATATCGCCCTCGCCTTGGCGCCGCGCTCATGCTGCGGCGCGGCGCATCTTCTTCGCGCGCAGCTCTGTCGACGCGCGGCGGACGCAAATTGTCGCTCCCGACGAGGCGCCGCGCAGATCTCGCTTTGGACGTGGCGCAGCCCGCCCCGACGCGGCGCACACGTGCTCGTCGCTCGCTGACTCTGGGGGGGCCCCGCGCGGGCAGGCGACATGCCGCCCTCGCCCAGGCGCGGCGACAGCGGCAGCAGGGCCGCGCGAGAGCGGGCGCGATGCCGACCTCGCCCGAGCGCCACGCAGCTCGTGCGTGGAGCCGTCCGTGCTGGGCCAGCGCGGCGCATGCCTCGCCTTCGCCGCTCGTCGCAAGCTTGCCGCTGCCGCCCCTGCGCGGCCCGCGTCAGTAGTCTTCCCTTCGCCAAGCCGTCGGAAGCGGGGCCACGCGCGAGCGCCTTCCGCTTGCGAGGTGGGAGCGCGTGCCAATCCAAGTGCCAAGTTGTGCCACAATTGATGCTGATATTGTGGGACGGGGGGGTGGGAGTAGGCGGGGCAATCTGACCCGCTCGACCTGGCTAAACTGACATATTTCTTTTTCATTCCAAATAACTCCTCCCTGTCGCACCAAGAGGCCGGTCGAAAGGGCAGGCCGGGCGTTTCGCCTGAGACTTCCTCGCCATTCTTGATTCTGAGGCGCAGAAAGCGGCAACAGTTTCCCACTGGAGGGCGGACCGCTTCGAAAAATGTGGCTCTCGCCTTAGCGCCGCGAACACTCGATTTAAACATGTGCAAGAGTTTATCATATTGAGGGCGGGCCGTTTTCAAAACGTTGTTCTCGCTTTGACGCCGCGCATATTTGTTCTAGAAAATTGCAAGACTTTCGCGGCTTGAGGGCGGGCCGCTTTCAAAATGTGGCTCTCGCCTTCACGCTGCGCTCATTCGTTTCAGAGAATTGCAAGACTTGCGCAGATTGAGGGCGGGCCTTTTTCACAGTGTGGCTCTCGCCTTGGCGCCCCCGCACATTCGTCTGAACAAATTGCAAGGGGCTTCAAACATGTGACTCTCGCTTTAGCGCCCTGCACATTCGTCTCAATCATGTGCAAGAGCTCTACAGATTGAGGGCAGCTCCTCTTCAACATGTGGCTCTCGCCTTAGCGCCGCGCACACTCGTCTTAAACACATGGAACAAGTTCACGGGTCAGTTGGTGCCCTCCGACAACTCCTGCTGCTGCTGTTCATCCGATGCTCGCGGAAGTGCAGCGCAGCTTTTGGCGGAACCGCCTCGGAGGGCTAGGAGGCTAACCCTGATACGCAAAACCTATCTCTTCAAAGCTTTACACCCTAACCCGAACCCCCTGACCCGGACCTGAACGAAACCCTGACCATGGCCCTGAACACGATCTCTACGACCATGGCCATAACGCCGGACACCGAGCCGCACACGGTAAGCCTACGACCCTGACACCCTCCAAACCTGAATCCTAAACCCAGCACACAAGAACAAATCAGTATCCCTGACTCTGCACACGACACGGCAATACGATAAGGCCAACCACTCAAACCCTAACTGCAAACACCAAACCCAACTCTAAAACCTTACACCTCCCCCCAAAACAACGAACACACTGACCGTAACCATGAAGAGAAACTATACTCCCGAACACCCTGACCCTAATCACCATGACCTTGACCCGAAGCACTAGCCCTAACCCCGCATAACCCCCGCAGACCACCCTAACCCACCCTGATCGTAACACCCGAAACCCGACCCCCCAGCACATTGAACCCTAACACAACAACTTTTAACACCAAAACCCTGCCACCATGACCAATCACCCTCAACCATAACACTCGAAGACTGTAGTTTAACATCCTAACACCATCATCCTATGCATTAAACCCTAACACCATGAACCCGAACAAGCTGAACCCTTATGCCCCAGCACTAGCATGAACCACTACATGTCACTCTGCCATCCTAGCCCTGATACCTGGAGCCCGAACACACACACACACACACACACACACACACACACACACACACACACACACACACACACACACACACACACACACACACACACACACACACACGCACACACCCACACACACACACACACACGCGAACCAACAACAAGCAGTCGCAATATCAAGCCCTAAACATCAACACCCTAGCCCGAATGCCCCAACCCAACTCCTGAGCGATCCCTGGCCCGAACACCATAAACCCTAACATCAGAACCCTAACACCCTAACCCTAGTGATTCGACCCTTCCCTCGGAACCCTGACCCGAAGCAATAACTCAGAATTCTGAGGGCTAAGAGACTGCACCGAAAACCCAGATCCTACCACGCTAACCCTGACCCTATACACTAGACCATAACGCCCTCCCCTGGGAGGGGGCACACCTGCGAAGCTGTGCGCTCCTGGGAGGCCCAGCAGACCGACGCGACACGCACGCCCAGACGAGACCTCGCGGCTCCACGAGAGGGCTGCCGCCTGCGCACAGGTCGCCGCCTACGCACGCTCTTGGGAGGCCCAGCGGAGCGACGCGACACGCGCTTGCGGACGAGACCTCGTGGCCCCCTGAGGGGGGGCGGGGGGGCGTCGCCTGCGCAGCCAGCGCCACACTCTGGGGGGATCGCTTGCCCCAGGGGACCGCCCGCGAGCACGTGGTACCACTCGTCATCAATCAATCCCCTCGATCGGGGACGCCTGACCCGGGACGGCTGGGAAATGTATCCCTAAAGTGGCAGGGTGGGGGTGTGAACTTGCAAGCCGCCCTGGGACAGGTGGCCTCAATCGAAGAAAAGTTTGTGTTACACCGTTCTTCGCCCGCTTTTGAACCACTTCAGAGCACGAGGTGAGGAACGAACTGCCCTGCGACCCCTGGCAATTTCATCTTACCATCGCTCGGACGTCCAGTCCCTGTGTTTTTGTTAGGCTGAATGCCTTTTTCTTAATCTCGAGATGATCCACGATGCTCCTCGATGGTCCTCGCCGAGACAAAATGTTCGAGCCATGCCATGACGAGCGGAGGACAGGCCCCTCTGCCCCGTGCGCGGGCGATCCGGTCCTGCGGCGGCAGACGGAGAACAGGAGGGGGTGCCCGAGGAGAGGGAGGAATGCTGGGGGGTGAGGAGAGCTGCCCCCCGATTGGCGGTGCGAGGAGGGGGCCCAGCGCAGATCTCAGGGATCCGCGCGGAGCTCCAAAAGTTTCTGCTCAAGCAGTTTGTTCGTCTTCGGCTCCCGCGCTCTGTCCGCAGCAGCAGCAGGGGCTGCGAACTGAACCCAGCGCCCCGCCCCGCCCCGTCCGCTGCCAACCAAGGGCCATCCAGCCCCCCCGCCGGTGCAGAGGGCGATGGGGTACAAAAGCATGCCCTCCCGACAGGGGGGAAGGAGGGGGGTGGTGGTTCTGAGGAGCCACCTCCCCTTGACAGCCAGCGGGGCCACCACGGGCGCCCTCTCCTGAGGAAGGCCCCCCCGCCTTCTCAAAGGGCGCTCCCCCCCCTTCCCCTGGCGCCACCCCGCTCCGCTCGGAGGATGCCCAGTCCGTGCGGAGCAAGTGCGCACGGCGTGCTCGGCCTCCGTCTGCGCTGACTCCTTCTGGACTTCGCCCCTCCTGCGCCGTGCCGCCGCGGAGCGGGGCCTGGAGGCGGCGGGCTGCGGACGGTCGGATCGGGGGCAGCCGAGCGGGCGGCCCCCCCGCCTCCTCAGAGGGCCCCCCTCCCCTCCCCCTCTCAGGCCCCCGACGTCGTGACCCTCTCAGAACGTCGACCCCCAGACGTCTCGACCACTTCCTCGGGGCCCGTTCTTCCTCTGGAGCTTCTTCTCGACGGCCCCGGGGCCAGGGAAGGACCCCCAGAGGCAGCACGGCGCAACACAAACGGGCCGTCGTGAGCCCTGCACGACGCACAGGGGGGCCTG